GTGACGGGTTTCCATGGGAGTTAGACACCCGGCTGGTCACGGTGACGGGTTTCCGTGGGTGTCAGACACCCGGCTGGTCACGGTGACGGGTTTCCGTGGGTGTCAGACACCCGGCTGGTCACGGTGACGGGTTTCCATGGGAGTTAGACACCCGGCTGGTCACGGTGACGGGTTTCCGTGGGTGTCAGACACCCGGCTGGTCACGGTGACGGGTTTCCGTGGGTGTCAGACACCCGGCTGGTCACGGTGATGGGTTTCCATGGGAGTTAAACACCCGGCTGGTCACGGTGATGGGTTTCCATGGGAGTTAAACACCCGGCTGGTCACGGTGACCGGTTTCCATGGGAGTTAAACACCCGGCTGGTTACGGTGACAGGTTTCCATGGGAGTTAAACACCCGGCTGGTCACGGTGACAGGTTTCCATGGGAGTTAAACACCCGGCTGGTCACGGTGACAGGTTTCCATGGGAGTTAAACACCCGGCTGGTCACGGTGACAGGTTTCCATGGGAGTTAAACACCCGGCTGGTCACGGTGACAGGTTTCCATGGGAGTTAAACACCCGGCTGGTCACGGTGACAGGTTTCCATGGGAGTTAAACACCCGGCTGGTCACGGTGACAGGTTTCTATGGGAGTTAAACACCCGGCTGGTCACGGTGACGGGTTTCTATGGGAGTTAAACACCCGGCTGGTCACGGTGACAGGTTTCCATGGGAGTTAAACACCCGGCTGGTCACGGTGACAGGTTTCCATGGGAGTTAAACACCCGGCTGAATCCCACAAAAATGCTAATGGTCAAAATACTGTGTTTACAGTCAAAAATAACTGACTGCAGTCGTCAGCACCACTGAAAGAATGAAAGAGACAAAACTTTCTTCTGCAGAGTCCATGCTGACCGTATGGACAAACAGCGATTAGTCGATTGGTGGATCGCTTTCCGGGAGTAATAATCTCTACAACAATCCACGACTGTTTGTGGGACACTGCTGTGCACAATTGGCTGCTGTGTTTCACCCACAAAATATACAGTCAATTCACTTTACAGTATATTCTGTGAAGCGCTTTGTGATGTCTCAACGACGTGATAAGGTAAGATTTTAAATCCAAGGATTATTATTGAGCGCTTTGAGACGTCTCAATAAGCCGCTATATCAAATGCAAGGATTATTATTGTTATGATTATTTGCGGGAGCGTTTCCATACTGAGCATAAGAAACTTGAGAACATGATGGATTTCCAGCTTCCCGGGGCTTCTAAAGAGAGACCGACCCACAACTTCTTCAAGAATGAGCGCTTGTGATCAGAGGCCATCCGGGAGGAAAGTGAACATTAATACTGAACACCGAAGAACACTCAGCCATATTGACTGTGTAGGGCCCACACAAACCTCCCCTTTCCACAGCAAAGCAAAACTAGGATTTCTACAGCCATTAAAGGGCCTGTTACGTCCTTTTATATTCTTCACAGCAAGCCTAGCTTAAACTGTTACCAACTTGTAAGTTTGCATTAAAAAATAACTGATTTATATACGCACACATACATAAAGGCACACGGACACACACACACACACACTGTACAGCTGCATCATATACAATGGATGTGCTGCTGTCAGCACAATGCAATTCACTATCAAATGCATTTCTGTACTAAACCCATTCTGACCCGACCCATCAAAACAAACTGCAAATGTAGGCTGTGAAAGAGAGTTGTCACAACGTTGTTATGTAAAATACCGTCTTCTAATATATCATCACACCATCTCCATTCCCAACAGTAATAATAATAATCCGCGCATTTGATACAGCGCCTTATTATGTCTTCGAGACGTCTCAAAGCGCTTATCAGAATATACCGTAATGTGAGTTGACTGTATATTTTGTGGGTGAAACGCGGCAGCCAATTGCGCACAGCAGCGTCCCACACACAGCCGTGGATTCAGTGACCACATTATTATTATTTTTTTTGGAAGGGATTATTACCCCCAGAAAGTGACCTGTCAATCAGGTTCCTACCCACCGATAACTAAGAATGGTCTAAGAATTAAAAATACACATAGCGTTTTTGCAAATGCCACTGCAAATTATAACTTGGGTTGAACCTGGTCTAAAACCCATCCCGTGGTGGCAATCGAGCTTAATATCCCTGCAGATGTTTCCTGCAAAACAATTGCAAAAGGAACATCTGGTTTACAGGGTGACCCGTCCACACCTCTGCCACCAGGAGGGAAAAAATGATAGTCAGTGAATCTCCAGAAAATACAAATATTACTCCAAATAATAATAATGTACAATCCGCTCACTAGAACCGCCAGAAGGTGGAGAAATTCAAACGATAATAATAATCCTTGCATTTGATATAGTGCCTTATCACGTCATTGAGAAGTCTCAAAGCACTTCACAGGATATACTGCAAAGTGGAGTGACTGTGTATTTTTGTGGGCAGCCAATTGCACACAGCAGTGTCCCACACACAGTTGTGGATTGAGAGACCAATTTTTTTTGAAGGGATTATTACCGCTGGAAAGTGATCCGCCAATTGTCTAACAAGCGGACTGACTGGTAAACAGAGGCGTGTGGAGTAAGGAAACTTGCATAAGGTTTCACACTGACAGGGAACTGAACCCGGGTCGTCTCGCTTGAGAGGTGAGGGCTCTAACCACTACAGCAACAACACATTACATCTGAACAGCGTCTTTCACATCAGGAGGACATCCCAAGGCGCTGGACAGTCAGGAATCCGCACCCAAGCTGGGGGTTGGGATCTGGAGGGGTGGGGGTAGGAGGCATGGTCAAAGAGGAGGGTCTTGAGACAAGTCTTGAAGGAGGCAAGGGAAGGGGCGAGGTGAAGTAACTGTGGGATTTAGTTCCAGAGGGTGAGGGCAGAGAGACTGAAGGCCCGCCCGCCAATGGTGGGGCGGGTGAGGCAGACGACGTGAGGCAGGCCAGAGCCCGCTGAGCGGAGGGAGCGAGCAGGATGGGAGGGGGTTAGGAGGTGGCAGAGGTCGGGGGGAGCAAGACCATGGAGGGCTTTGAAGGTGAGGACCAGGATCTTGAACTGTATCCTCTGTGTGATGGGAAGCCAGTGGAGTCGGGCGAGGATGGGGGTGATAGGGTCACGGAGCCGGTGCGGGAGAGGACACGGGCTGCAGAGTTCTGGATGATCTGCAGTCTGTGGAGGGAGGAGTTGGGGGCCGACAAGCAGTGAGTTTGCATAGTCGAGCCTCGATGTAATGAAGGTGTGTGTGAGGGTCTCGGGGGCTGTGGTGTGAGACAGTGGCGGAGTCGGGCGATGTTGCGGAGGTGGGGAGGGCAGAGCGGGTCATGGCACAGATATGGGGTAGAAAGGATAGTTGAGGGTCGAACAAGACCCCAAGGTTCGGGACTGGCTCAGTGAGGGGGAGTGAGCCCCAGGGATGGTGACGCTGTCAGCGCCTGAGGTGAGGAGGTGCTGACGGGAGCCAATCAGGAACCTCGGTCTTGTTGATGTTCAACCACACTGCGGGACTCCAAATAAAATCAGGGGAGGGAAGAGGTCGACAAGAAAAGACAAACAAAATTTAAAATAAAAACTTCAGTTTAAAAGACTGAAAAAGTTTGAATTTAAAAAGCTCATTTTGCACCAACACAGTCAGATCCGAACCAAAAAAAATCATAGATTTCGGCTAAATAGTAGTAGACTGAAAGGTAACTGACACATATATTTCCACAAAATATAGTCAGTTCACTTTACAGTCCATCCTGTGAAGCGCTTTGCGACGTCTCAAAGTTGTGATAAAGCTCTATATCAAATGTAAGGATTATTATTATTATATAATAGTTCTGAAAGGACAACTTGTTCAGATTGATAGCCGGAGCTGAACTTTTTTTTGTCCAAACATTTCCTCGACCTGAATATGAAATACCTGCCTCTATGTGAATTTGATGACTATCACTTGGGGGAGTGTACAGAATGCTGTTTTTAGAATAGTTTGGGTTCTCTGTTGAGTGATTTTCATAGACCTCTGTGTCATCACAGCGTTACATCTTAGACTGAATGAATTTTTTACTCTGATTGGAAAAATAGTTTATATTTTAATAATAATAATCCTTGCATTTGATATTGCGCCTCATCACATCTTTGATACGTATTTTGGTTTGATATATAACGTCAATAAAGGTTAGAAAAAACTTTTTTTCAAATACAGTATTTTTTGAAAAAAAAGTAACTAATGCAGGACTGAGGGAGAGGGAAAAAGCGTGAAAACTTTTTGAGAGGTTTATTTAGTGAAAAGATGTGAAAAATGACCCAATTCTCTTCACCCTCCCTCTAGTTTCTGGAAATGGAAAGGGTGGGGTGGGGGGGGAATGTCAAATATAACAAAACACCCCACAAAACACACAGTCACTTGGTTTTACTGTGTATGTATAAAATAAATCCTGTGAAGCACTTTGAGAAGTCTTGACGACATGATAAGGGCCTGAACTGAATACAAGGATTATTATTAATTATTATTTAACTGTACAGACTTTTTAAAACTGGACACACACACACACACTCTCTTGAAAAGCGTCCTTCCAAATAAAATCAGTCACTCACTCACTCCATGTCTGTTTGCAGGACACTGCTGTGTGCAAACTGCCCGCTATGTTTCGCCCACAAAATACACAGTCGCATAATGTAAGGGTTAGAGCCCTCTCCTCGCAAGCGAGAGGACCCGGGTTTGATTCCCGGGCGGGTCAGGGCAAAACCTTAGGCAAGTTTCCTTACTCCACACGCCTTAGTTAACATAGCATTCAGTAGGAACCTGGTTGTACGTTGATGGTGGATCGCTTTCCATGGGGTAATAATCCCTCCCCCCAAAAGTAATAATAACCCGACCACTCAATCCCCGGCTGTGTGAGGGACACTCACTGCTGTGTGCAATTGGCTGCCGAGTTTCGCCCACAAAATACACAGTCACTGCACTTTACAGCATATATCCTGTGAAGCGCTTTGAGACGTCTCAGACGTGATGAGGCGCTGTATCAAATGCCAGGACTATTATTATGATTATTATTACGGTTGACCTTTCTTACCCAGCAGAAGCAGCCTGTGAGTTTGCTTGTATTCCCGTTTCTGTTCCTTCAGCACTTTGTCGATGTCCTTGCTGATCTTCCTCGCCTCCCTTTCCGCCTCTTTCTCCTCCGCCTTCAACTTGTCCCAATTCTTGTTTGGTGGTGGTGGTGGTGGTGGTTGTTGTTGTTGTTGCAGGTGTGAAGGCAGTTGTGTGGCTGTACATTCAGCCTTCTTCCCTTGGGCCGGAGGGGCCCGGGTTGTGGTCAATTGGAGCATTTGCAGTCTCTCTCTGTCTCCGCCATTTTGTTGTTGTTGTTGTTGTTGAGCATCTCCCTGACATGTCTGCGTCTGAGGCTGTTGTTGTTGTTGTTGTCGTCGTTCCGAGTCCAGGGTCGAGGTGGACAGGGAAGCGATGGGGTCGCTGAACAGTCGCGGACGCAGACTGTAGCACATCCCCATCGCAGAAAAATCCCACACACACAAAGTGGATAAATGATAAATATACCAAATAAAATAAATAAATACAGGAGGAGAGGAGAGAGGGGAGAGAGAGGAGAGGGGAGGGGAGAGAGAGGGGAGGGGAGAGAGAGGAGAGAGGGGAGAGAGAGGGGAGAGAGGGAGGGAGAGAGGGAGGAGAGAGGAGAGAGGGGAGGGGAGAGAGAGGGAGAGGGGGAGGGGAGAGAGAGGAGAGGGGAGGGGAGAGAGAGGAGAGAGGGGAGGGGAGAGAGAGGAGAGAGGGGAGAGGGGAGAGGGGAGAGGGAGAGGGGAGAAGAGGGGAGGGGAGAGGAGAGAGAGGGAGAGAGGGGAGAGGGGAGAGGGAGGAGGGAGAGGGGAGGGGGGAGAGGGGGAGGGGAGGGGGGGAGAGGGGGAGGGGAGGGGAGAGAGGGAGGGGAGAGGGAGAGGGGGAGGAGGGGAGAGGGAGGGTTGTTATCCAGATGCTCTCCTACTGAAACCTGCTCCACTTGTCTCACTTCATTTCCCAGAACTAAATCCAGCACTGCTTCCTTCCTCGTTGGGCTGGAAACATGTTCCTTCAGAAATTTCTCCTGCACACATTTCAGGAGTTCCTCTTTTTCCTTGCCCTTTATACGCTGTGTTTCCCAGTCTATGTGAGGATAATTGAAGTTCCCCCATTATCACTACTCTATTGGTTTTGCATCTCTCCGAAATCTGCTGCAGATTTGCTCATCACTCTCCTTCCCACTATTTGGAGGTCTATAGTAAATACCTAACAGAGTAACAGCTCCTTTTCTGCTCCGTAACTCTAACCAAATAGATTCAGTTTTTGGACCCTCTAACACATCGTCCTTTTCCAAGACCATGACCCTAATGAGTATTGCCATCCCTCCTCTTTTTTTCCCTTCCCTATCCTCCTGAATAGGCTGTAGCCAGGAATATTCAGCTCTCATTCCTGTCCTTGCTTGAGCCAAGTCTCCATAACTGTCACTACATCATAACCCATGTGGCACCTTGAGCCCCAGCTCACTAAGCTTATTGGTCACTCCCTGTGCATTTACACACATGCACTCCAAGACCGGCTTAATCCGCTTTACATTTCTCCCCCATCTCTTTCCCCATTTTGCTGGACTATTCCTTGTTTCATTTCTATTTGTCTCTCCTCGTCCACTATGTAACTTGTTTCCCCTCCCTGATGCTACATTCTGATCCCCATCCCCCCTCGAAATCAGTTTAAACGCTTCCCCACAGCATTTGTTATCCTCGTTACAATGACATTGGTCCCAGCCCTGCTCAGGTGTAACCCATCTCTTGTGTAGCGTCCCATCTGCCCCAGAAGTGGTCCCAGTGGTTCAGAAACCTGAAGCCCTTCTTCCTGCACCATTTCTCAGCCAGACATTCATGTGTTTGATCTCCCAGTTTGGTGTTCACTTGCATAAAGGCACTGGGAGTAATCCCAAGATCACCACCATTGAGGTTCTGCTCTTTACCTTCTTCCCAAGCTTCTGATATTCTCAGCCCTTTTATTACCTACATCATGGATCCCGACATGGACCACCACTTCTGGATTTTCCCCTTCCCACTATCGTATGTTTTGCACCCGCTCCATGATGTCCTGCACCCCGGCCCCAGGGAGGCAGCATACCAGGCGCAAGTCCCACAACTGGCACCGCCTTCCAACACCTCCGGAATGTTGCCAGACTACACGCCAGACTCACGCGGCTGAAACTCTGGTCCACGCCTTTGTCACCTCAAGGCTGGACTATGGGAACTCTCTCCTCGTCGGCCTTCCCGGCCCTCCCTCCACACTGCAGGTCATTCAGAACTCTGCAGCTCGTGTACTGTCCCGCACCAGACACCGGGACCACATCACTCCCGCCCTCGCCCTCGCCCTCGCTCGTCTCCACTGGCTCCCCATCCCCCAGAGGATCGAATTCAAGATCCTCATCCTCACCTACAAGGCCATTCACGGCCTCGCTCCTCCTACCTCTCCGACCTACTATCCCCCTCCCACCTGCCCGTACCCTCCGTCCCTCTGGCTCTGGTTTGCTCCACATCCCCCGCCCCAACCGCCCTACCATCGGTGGTCGGGCCTTCAGCCTCTCAGCCCCGAGGCTCTGGAACTCTATCCCCAGTGCCTTCGCCGCTTCCTCCTTTTCCTCCTTCAAGGCCGGTCTCAAGACCTTTCTCTTTGACCTTCAGCCTTCAGCTCCCCTCTCGACTCTCTACCCCTCCTCGCTCCCTCCCTTCCCTCCCCTCACCCTGACCATTTCCCCCTCCTCGCTCCCTCCCCCTGACCATTTCCCCCCTCCTCGCTCCCTCCCTTCCCTCTCCCTGACCATTTCCCCCCTCCTCGCTCCCTCCCTTCCCTCCCTCACCCTGACCATTTCCCCCTCCTCACCCCCTCCCTTCCCTCCCCTCACCCTGACCATTTCCCCCCAATGCTTGGGTCCTGCCCCAACTGTACAGCGCTTTGGGAAGTCCTCCGGACGTGAAAGGCGCTCTATAAATGGAATTTTGTTGTTGTTGTTTTTATGGCAGAAACGCCTGTCTGTCCCTTTAACTGTTGTATCCCCAATAACAACAGTGTTGGCATTTCTCCTCTTGTTCCCCTGAACATCCATTACCTTTTGACTTCCAGGCTTTCTCCCCGGAATCCAGACCGAGAGCCGGAGTGTGAGTGCCACACTCTTAGGGGATTTCTGTACTGCCTGTTCTTAGGTGTGTGTCAGGCTGCCTTGTGTGTGTATGGTGTGTGTATATGGTGTTTATGTATGGTGTGTGTGTGTGTCAGGCTGCCCTGTGTGTGTATATGGTGTGCGTATGTATGGTGTGTGTATGTATGGTGTGCGTTAGGCTGCCCTGTGTGTGTGTGTCAGTCTGACAGTGCCTGTGTGTATGGTGTGTGTGTGTATTGTGTGTGTGTGTGTGTGTGTCAGGCTGACAGTGTGTGTGTGTGTGTTTTTCAGGCTGACAATGTGTGTGTGTGTATGGGGTGTGAGGCTGACAGTGTGTGTGTATGGGGTGTGTATGGTGTGTGTGAGGCTGACAGTGTGTGTATTGGAGTGTGTGTGTGAGGCTCACAGTGTGTGTGTATGGGGTGTGTGTGTGAGGCTGACAGTGTGTGAAAATGGGGTGTGTGTGTGTATGGGGTGTGTGTGTGTATGGGGTGTGTGTGTGAGGCTGACAGTTTGTGTGTATGGGGTGGGGCACTCCCACCACATCCCCCGCCCCAACCGCCGTGGTGGTGGTGTTGCCCTTATCTCAAGGACACCACTTGCCCTATCCCCCTACTCCACTGGCTCTTTCCCCTCCTTTGAGCACCTCACCCTCTCCCACCCCTCATTCCTCTCCCTTAAAATCCTCCTCCTCTACCGGCCCCCTAAAACCTCTCCCACCTTCATCTCTGACATTTCAACACTCCTCACATCTCTTTGCCTCTGCTCTGATCGCCTCATCATCCTGGGCGACTTTAACCTACACTTCACCCCCTCCTGCTCCATCTCCACAGACTTCTCTTCCCTGCTCTCCTCACTCAACCTCTCCTTACACATAAACTCCCCCACTCACAGTCACGGCCACCCACTCGATTTGGTGATCACCCGGGGCCTCAGTGTCTCGGATGTCACTATTACCGACAAGGCCATCTCTGACCACTACTTCATCTCCTTCACCACCTCCACCCCCCTCCCCACCTCCACCAGACCCACCACCATCTTCTACCGCCCTTGGAAGAAGTTACCCCCACAATCCCTAACCGATGCCTTGGAGTCCTCTGAACTCCTCTCCCTCTGGCCTTCAACCCTCACCGACCCCTCTTCTCCTCTCTCCCTCCTCCACAATACCCTCTCCTCCACACTCGATACTCTTGCCCCCATCACTTCCCGCACTGTCTCCTACTCCCGCTCCTCCCCCTGGTACACCACCCACCTCCGCTCACTGAAAAGCCAGGTGCGGGCTGCTGAACGCACCTGTGTCAAATCTGGCCTAACGGTCCACCGACAAATCTGGCTGGACCTCCTCAAAATTTACCGCTCCACTCTAGCCTCGGCCAAGTCGTCCTTCTACTCCAGGATAATCCTGGAGGCGAAGAACAACCCCAGGCTACTGTTTTCCACCACAACCCGACTCCTCCGTCCCCCCCCCCACCCCGCGCAGGTCATCTCCTCCAACCTTCACTGCGAGGAGATGCTGGATTTCCTTGAATCCAAGATCAAGGGAATCCGCTCCGCGGTCACTTCCCCTCCAACTTCCACCACCCCCACCCCTTCCCTCCCACACTCCGACTCCTACCCATCCTCCCCTACACACCTTCGTACCCGTTTCCCCACCCTCTGTCACTGAACTCATCCTATCCCTAAAACCAACCACCTGCTCCCTTGACCCCATCCCCACTCCACTCCTTATCTCCCAGCTCCACTTTCTTGCCCCACATATCACTGACATCATCAACCTGTCCCTCTCCTCTGGCTCTGTCCCCATTCCATTAAAAACTGCCATCATCACGCCCACCCTGAAAAAACCCTCCCTTGATGCGTCGCAGCTATCAAGCTACCGGCCCATCTCCAACCTCCCCTTTCTCTCCAAGGTCTTGGAAAGAGTTGTCGCCTCCCAACTGCGCTCTTTCCTTTCCACCCATTCTCTTTTCGAACCCCTTCAGTCAGGTTTCCGTGCTGCCCATAGCACAGAAACTGCCCTGGTCAAGGTCACCAATGATATCCTGACCATCTGTGACCAGGGCTCCCTCTGTCTCCTCGTCCTCCTCGACCTATCGGCAGCATTCGATACGGTCGACCACGCTATCCTACTCCACCGCTTGTCCTCCCACCTCAACCTTCAAGGCACTGTCCTTGAATGGTTTAGGTCGTACCTTTCTCACCGTCTTCACTTTGTCTCACGAATGGCTTCTCCTCCACCCCCCGTACTGTCTCATGTGGTGTCCCTCAGGGCTCTGTCCTCGGTCCCCTCCTCTTCACCCTCTATATGCTCCCCCTTGGTGACATCATCCGCAGACATGGAGT